GCCCCTAGGCAGTCGAAGTCTCGAGGGCCCCTCTCGCTAATTATCTCCTAATACGTTTTTAATTTTGTTAATAGGTACATTACATTAATACAGTATTTTCTCTATAGTCTTTATTGTAAAGCTTTCGTTTCTTTGAGTTGATTTATTTTTTTAACTTTTGAAAACAATTTAGAAAGCTTGATTGTAATTTTCTTTTAAGATTAAGTCAATTCAATATTATTTTGATCTGTTGTCGCAGGCCCTAACAAAGACACAAAATTCTCATTTATACAAATTTCACACCATTCTTAAGTCACCATCAGTGCCGGATTACAAAAAAGGCAGAGTAGACCCCACACCTTTTGTTGGTTGGTAAAATTAAAAACATATTAGGAGACAACTTGCAAGAGGGTGGCGAGATTTCGACTGCCAATTGGTCTCCACATGGTTTATTCCGTTACAGGTCGCCATCATCTTACAGTAACACTTTATATACATGTACTGTTGGATAAAAGCCACTCTTAAATCAATATAGACCTAATGTGACGACCTAAAGTAAAGCTTGACCTTTTGGTTCAATTATTAATTGGACCTAGTCAAAAGGAAGCTGGATATAGTGCTGAAGGCGAATAAAAACTAGTTTCTACTGCAAGATGTGGTGGACAATAACATCTGCATATCAAGATGAATATATTCCCCATAAAGGGTTACGCAATAGTCCGAGTTTCCTCTGACCCTTGACACCCCATTTTTCATATTTGGTTTTTTATGTTGGGGTGTAGGGTCAGAGTCTATTCCCTATCTAAAACTTGGAATTTGCCGACACCATTTGGTGTCGGCATAGGGTACTCGCCAACTATCAGGCCTAGCAAACTTAAATGACCTTACATTGACCAATGATTACATTAACTCGATAGGGAAATCATTTATCTTCTCAGAAATTACAAGCATAACACGATTTTGTCTTTAATCCGTTGTCAGACGAGACGTAAATACATCGTTGATGAATTTTGACCTCGTTCGCACCATTTTCATTGCTAGTCACATGACTAACCAAATCTCGTAGCCGATATGCATAAACGTCATAGGTCAAATAGTCACGTGATAACAACAACAACAAAAAAACCCCGCGTTTTCCCATACCCCTTGTGAAAGACGGCAAATGTGTCACCTTCATTGATAACTGATTTTATTACATCATACTGTAGTTCTTTAATATTAAAATAGTATCCCATGTCTTAAAGTGTCTCATTGGCAAAAGCTTCCGTGTATTCGTCTTTACTTGCCATGTTGCAATATAGGTTTATCCATAAAACCTTCCATTCCAGTATTGCAGAAAGAAGACATAAACTCGAAAATATTGAATGAAAGTCACGCAATGTATACAATAACAAGAAAAAACACGTATTATTCAACATATTAATTGGGATTAATTGATTTTTTTTAAATTAAAAAAAAAACAATGGTTAAGAAAGAAAAATATGATATATATATATATATATATATATATATATATATATATATATATATATATATATATATATATATATATATATAAAACACAAGTCATGCTCACGCGGACATCACATGCAGGAGATATAAACACAAACTGGCATCCTGTCATCGCAAGCCGGTCAAAAGTTTAACCAGATCCTATTTACACCACATTCTCGAGAGACATATCAACATCACAATTAGTCCGAGTTTCCTCTGACCATTGACAGCCCATTTTTCATATTTGGTTTTTTATGTTGGGGTGTAGGGTCAGAGTCTATTCCCTATCTAAAACTTGGAATTTGCCGACACCATTTGGTGTCGGCATAGGGTATTCGCCAACTATCAGGCCTAGTAAACTTAAATGACCTTGCATTGACCCATAATTACATTAAATCGATAGGGAAATTATTTATCTTCTCAGAAATTACAAGCACAATACCGATTTTGTCTTTAATCCGTTGTCAGACGAGACGTAACTACGACGTTGTTGAATTTTGACCTCGTTCGCACCATTTTCATTGCTAGTCACATGACTAACTAAATCTCGCAGCCGATGTGCATAAACGTCATAGGTCAAATAGTCACGTGATAACAAAGTGCGTTGACATGTAGTTTCTGCGTGATCAGTCAGCCTCTTTCCAGGAAGATGCGACAGCGACATGTTTCGGGCTGCTGTTATCCCAATTTATATGTTGAATAATACGTGTTTTTTCTTGTTATTGTATACATTGCGTGACTTTCATTCAATATTTTCGAGTTTATGTCTTCTTTCTGCAATACTGGAATGGAAGGTTTTATGCATAAACCTATATTGCAACATGGCAGGTAAAGACGAATACAGGGAAGCTCTTGCCAATGAGATACTTTAAGACAAGGGATACTATTTTAATATTAAAGAACTACAGTATGATGTAATAAAATCAGTTATCAATGAAGGTGACACATTTGCCGTCTTCCACAAGGGGTATGGGAAAACGCGTTTTTTTTTTTTGTTGTTATCACGTGACTATTTGACCTATGACGTTTATGCATATCGGCTACGAGATTTGGTTAGTCATGTGACTAGCAATGAAAATGGTGCGAACGAGGTCAAAATTCATCAACGATGTATTTACGTCTCGTCTGACAACGGATTAAAGACAAAATCGTGTTATGCTTGTAATTTCTGAGAAGATAAATGATTTCCCTATCGAGTTAATGTAATCATTGGTCAATGTAAGGTCATTTAAGTTTGCTAGGCCTGATAGTTGGCGAGTACCCTATGCCGATACCAAATGGTGTCGGCAAATTCCAAGTTTTAGATAGGGAATAGACTCTGACCCTACACCCCAACATAAAAAACCAAATATGAAAAATGGGCTGTCAATGGTCAGAGGAAACTCGGACTAATTGTGATGTTGATATGTCTCTCGAGAATGTGGTGTAAATAGGATCTGGTTTAACTTTTGACCGGCTTGCGATGACAGGATGCCAGTTTGTGTTTATATCTCCTGCATGTGATGTCCGCGTGAGCATGACTTGTGTTTTATATATATATATATATATATATATATATATATATATATATATATATATATATATATATATATATCATATTTTTCTTTCTTAACCATTTTTTTTTAATTTAAAAAAAAATCATTTATTTTCGTACCATTTAATAAATCTTATTTGTTTTCGTGCCATTTAAACATCTGCATTGCAATTTTTTTTATCATATTTCCCAAGTTAACTTTTGTCTCGCTAATGCTGATATATTCTTTTTTATATATCAAAATTATGTTTGAAAACGACAGATTGCATCAAAAGGAACGATTTAATTTTGTAATTTTAAATAAAGAGCTGGGAATATGTGCTACGAAAAATATTTCTGAATATACAGCGATACGTACCATGGTATACCTCAAATGTATCAGGAACGAACAAAAATTATCTCTGACAGGTACTGGACGTTAAATTTTTTCAATTTCCCACGGTCAATAGCTGAAAAAAAAATATCTTGACATGATTAACAGCCAAAAAAACTTATATATATATATATATATATATATATATATATATATATATATATATATATATATATATATATAATATTATCTGAAAACAAAATAATAACAATAATGTTAAGAATAAAGAAAATAACTGAACTGAAAGCAAAATCGTAAATTATTTGTGTGTCGTAGCCGCTGACAGATTATTTATTACCTCACATCAGGTTATTTACGTTGGTATCTTTAGAATTTTCATTCATAAGTTGAGTGCTTGGTTATTGAGTCAGACTGTTTACTTCGATATCTTCATTCATAGACTGAGTGTTGTGTATTGATAAATTAGAGTATTTACGGTGCGTTATATATTTACATGCTGGTGTAACATAGTGGCGTGTTAAAGAAACTATTTGCAAGCTGCAATAAAGGCCTTGACAAGATGTAAAAACATAAAGTGCACAAATTACAAGTGAAAGTGGATAATATAAATTAAAAAAAGGTGGGATTAAAAGGGAAATGGGGAGGAAAAGATTATGTTGCAAACTCCCCCAAACTTTGTTGGGATGGGTTGTATAGTTTTGGTTATCATAATCTAGAGTGTGATAGCCTACGGTGTAATGTGCCCGGACCGAGTAAATATAAATCTAAAGTGTGAAACTTACTGGTAGAACCGGTAAAGATCAGAGCAGATATATAGAACAGAATGTACACATTTGATGCTATCAAATGTAAACGCACCCGTAAAATTTCATGACCATATTAAAAACAAATTCTATGTGCTGATTTGACCTTGAAAAGTTGGTCATCATGACCTACTTTTTCCGCAAAAGTACCATCTAATGAGAATATCTAGTTATATAATAAATAAATAGACTGGTCAGTGGTCAATGATTTCTGCGATGCACCTACTTTCGGATAAGAATTCCTGGCATACTTGGCCGAAGCAATTACAGATATGAATGCTGGATATATCTAACAGCAACAACACTGTCTAGCTCCAAATGGCCGAGTTGTCTAAAGCACTTGCCGTTACGAATCACTGCCATCTAACCTCTGTCAGTGTACTGATGTCTAACATTGGGCCATCATGAAAAAGACATGGAACATGATGTCCCACACAGTCACATTATCCTGACACCAGGCCGACCAGTCCAAACACTAACCTGTTAATGATAAGCGCCAAGCGATGCAGCTGTTAGTACCATCTTTGTAATTCTTTCGTTCAGGATAATGTGACTGGGCGGAACATGATGCTACATGTCTGCACTACGATGTCCCCAGTGCTAGACATCATTATAAACTGCCACACTGCAGGCATAGCGAGATGACTGAAAAACTGTTAAAGCTACGTTAAAAATCCAAATAAAGCAAACACCAACACACACACGCACGCACACCTAACGTGTGTATAATGTATCAGAAGACCATCCAATCAGTTATTGATAACAAAAATGTCATTATTATTATTATTATTATTATTATTATTATTATTATTATTATTATTATTATTATTATTATTTTCACCTTAGACTTTGAACCGCTCCGGTGACCTAGGGGTTAGAGCGCCCGCCTCGGAAGCGGGAGGTTGTGGGTTCAAACCCCGGTTGAGCCATACCAAAGACTTTTAAAAATGGTACCTACAGCTGCCTCGCTTGGCGCTCAGTTTCAAGAGGTTAGTGTTATGACTGATTGGCCTGGTGTCAAGATATTGTGACTGGGTGGGACATGACACATCTCTGCAGTATGATGCCCCAGTGCTAGACATCACTATAAACTATCACACTGCAGATATCGTGGCGATATAACTGAAAAACTGTTAAAGCTACGTTAAAAATCTAAATCATACACGCACGCACACACACACGTACCTTAGGTTTTGTTTAAAATAAGACATTTTCCGCAATTCCGCGGATCATGCTCTCCGTTTTCGCATGCAAAATTAGACATGGTCTATGTTATTATTGATTCAAATAGATTTCTTGTCATTAGCTATATGAGTAGTGGATTGCAAAACAGAGAGCATACGAAGCTGAAAACCAGACAGTCTTGTTTTGTGCTGAATACACCAGTCTTATTAAAGTCAACGCCAGTACAGAAGGGCAGACTTTTTTTCTTCACTTCATTGTGCGTGCCAGAAGAAGCATTATCCAATTGTAGTAAACCTGAGATAGGCAGGGAAATAAAAAGTACTTTTTTATTACAGACTATTAAAGAGTCTCAAAAACACCTGAATGTAGCACGCAAAATCTAACAAAAATAGTCGCTTGTATTCTCTAAAAAGGCAGGCACTCTTTACATCGTATGTACTTTGAACACCTTTTATCTAATACCGTCAACCTTTCTCGTATGTATCTGATAAAGACAGATCAAGAATAAAATACACTTAACATCTTCTACTTTAAGAAATAAAACACGCACCTCACATACAAGTATCTAAAAAGCCAAATCTAATAAAGTGGAAACTGTGGTGTAAACCAGTGCTGTCCAACCTTTTTGACACCATTGGCCACTGAGCCATGGCGGACAATTTAAAATCTGAATCAGACATTTAATATCAGCCCGCATGCCATTATTTATTTATAACTGACAACATTTATATTGAAAAGTGCTTAAGGTTTGACCCTGAAAATAAAAAATTGATTTTTTAAAACCATTTCATCAAAAAACTATGTTAAAGTATTCAGAAAACAAAAAAATATATATTTTTTTAAAGATTTATAATATTGTTTCAGTTGTCTACTAAAATAATCTACATAACCTTGTCAGGGTAGCCCACACCGGACAACTTTGCTGTTGGGTAAAACATACCTGTTCCTTTACCATTGATTGCACAAATACTTTTCAGCATTATTCTTTTATATTTTTATTTGTCTTTAAATTCTGTTTTAGTTTTAAACTTAAGACAATTTTTGACATTGTTATATTTGTAATTTAGATAAAATTAATTGCAAGCTTTGCAAAAATTAATTTCTTTCATCATTAGCGTAAGAAGGTTGTTTGTCAAATTGCAAAATGAACTTTAAACATTCTGGATTTTTGGTCATCTGTTTAATGAACATTATGCAATAATGTGAAAAAGTTCAAACTGGCTGAATTTGATTAGACGAATAATTTATTTTGTTTTTACTCGTATATATATATATATATATATATATATATATATATATATATATATATATATATATATATATATATATATATATATATATATATATATAACTTTTGCAGCATCAATTGATGGAATTCCGAACGAGTCAAAATAATTATCAAAAACAGCTACCCAATGTGTACCAGATTCGTCAATAAAATTTTGTATATTTATAAAGCACGAACCTTGCGATGATGTTGCTTGCGTTGATGGACTCGCAGTAAGCTCATCTTTGGAATAAACTCCGTTGAGATTTTTTACTTTTTCTTAGTTTATCAAGTATATAAAAGTTACTTATCGCGGGCGACTTATCTCCTTTTTCCTGGCAGTGTTAGTCCTTGTCCTCGTCCTAACAGACCCGGCATAAGACTCCCCGCAGTAATGGGTCTAATGGAAGAAATCCACCTTATCGCTGTCGTGTCTTTATTTTCGTCGTTGTCTTTTCTCGCACCGTTTTTCGTTTAGGTATTTTATTAATTCTTTAGACAAAAAATTACCACCGATCTTTAAACGAAACATTTCTTTATACCGCCGACGCGGTCAATACCATTACTTTTGACTGCATTTCCTGTTGTGCTAGACACTGCTCCAGACGCTGCTGCTAGTTATAATGTGCCAAGCACTGGCAATTTTTTAGGTAGTAACATTTTGGCTATTATAGATAGTACCGGACCGAAAAAAAACTCACCTTGTTTTGATATCGCAGTTATTTGTGCAGCACTTAAATTTAAAACAATTTTTTTTTGAGATCGTAATTATTTTCTTTATTTTTGGTTAACAACAATTTTGTTAAAGTACCCATTTGAGCATTAGGGTTGACCTTCAATGAAACCAGTCTCTGTTTTGCAACAGCAGCTGCTCTTTTGTTCTTAACTTGGCAATCAATTAAATGCATTCCTTTTACAATATATTATGTCATTATATTATAGCTGTAGATTAAAGTTGGACTGACATTTTACCTCTGACAGAGTCAATTGTAACAAATTTGTCGCTTACCACTAAAACATATACGTATAACGGCGCTGCTGGAGGTACTCCTAGTGTCCAAGTAATTTTGATATAAGGTGTATTGTCTACAGCTCGCTCGCTATGTTTACTAACATCAAAATAAAATATTGGATAAAGTGTACGAAATTCCTCTACTAATATCTGAGATCCATCTCCAACGTCCTGATATTTTTGTACTGCGTCAAGCAGGTACAAAGGTCTACTAATACTAATGTTTTTATTAATATCATCTGCAAAATTACATTCTATCCCTCGTTCTGGGCATTGTTTTGAATTTATTCTAGCATATATTCGTTTAACATCAGCATTATCAAATATTGCATATTGTTCCTGATTGCCACGTGGAGCTTGTCTGTGAAATAAAATAAAAAATTGCTAAGGTAATTGTTCACTTGATGTTGTAATTCACCACGTGTAGTCTGTCGTATTTGGAACTGTTCTTTGAAATATATTTTTGATATATATTATGTTGCTGAAAATAAATTTTATTAGTATCTTTTTGGAGGATATAATTTAATTCCTCCATTTTATGATATACGGAGTTATTCGTGGTATCAACAGCGCAAGTTTATTTATGAAAAATTATACATAAACCCCACCATGTGAAAATAAACAATCATTTTGTTCTGCTCGATCTAAAATAAGTGTATGTTTAACTCCACGAAATACGTTATTATAGTCTCTGCAAAAAACAAATATTGTACTTAGTGACAGCATCATTTTAATTTGACGTAATCTTGCTGCAAGTGCATTTCTATTAGCATAACCATCATTGTAACGTGCATTTTTAAAATCTACTATATTATCGTTAACTAATTATAACATTGCAGTTCCATCAGCACTTGCTCCTGGTCGTGCTATAACAAGATTATCACAAGAAGCAGTATGTGAAACACTTGTATAGTCTGCATTAGCCTATGCAGCTGGTGCAGCTATTCGAAGAGAACCAGCATAAAGAATAAGAAGATTTCTCATATTTTTAGCCCTTTCATTAACATTAGCTCCAGCTGCAACTTCTACCCTTGAAATAAATTCTACAGATCCCACATCTCCAGCTCCAGTATCTTTAAACCACATCACATTGGTTGCAGTTGATTTGGAGTAATCATCGGAAAACGAAACAGCATTCAAGATTGTACTTGCAACTTGTAAGTGACCTGAAATATCTTCAACAGTTTGATTAGCCAGCTGATATCGAGCACTTTTAAATAAACAACAACCACTGTTTATAAGAACTACTTCTGCTCCAGCTGCAATTGCGGCAGGTGAAACAGCTAATGTCATGATCTGTCCCCGAACACTTTCAAAGTTGCTTTATGAGGCAGTATAAATACGTCCTCGTCTCTAGTATTAAATGTTTTGACGCCAGCCTTATTAGGTTCGTTAGAATTTTCATCAAAATATTCAGCATATTCAAATTCGATTTTACTGTCGTCTGTATCATAAATTTTTGCTAAATCGAGATAATTTTTTACAAACATTTTTGCGGCGTTGTATCTTTAGATATTCATTTTTGAATAATCTGCTCGCCTTTTGGTATTGAAAGTTTTTTGTTGTTATCATTGCGCGTTGGATTTCTTCTGTTGGTGTAATTTCTGAAATTGTTTTATCGTAGGTGCGAAAAGTGAGCCTTTTATTTTATCAGATATATTTTATCCCGCAGCGTTTCCAGCAGCAGATGAATTTTCAGTTGCAAAAGCTTTTAATGTGTCAAGTGCAATTGGTGCAACTTTAAGAGTTATTATGGAATATTTTCAGTAATTTTAGTAAATATATTTCCCAAAATCATCCTATTTTTATTTCGTAAACGTTTTTCTGTTTCATTATATCTGAGGTTGTATAATTTTGTTGTCTTAGAAAATATATTTATTGCTGTTCGCGCAAGTACAGGTGATAACTAACAACTTCATTATCTAAATCCAACTATCGTCCAGACTGATCTGTAAATTGCATTTACTTCTGTTATTTGATTTTCAATATTTAACGGATAATAATTAGTATGGCGTGGATTAATTTGCATAAGAGAACCTTGTCGAGCTTCTGGTGAAAAACTGGATATTGTTTGCCCTTTTCTGCCTTTAGCTTAATAAGAACTAGATGCAATAGAACACTTTATTAACATTGTGTTTACGTCAGATATATTTACTGGCAGTTGACCGTCATAGATTTTGTTGCTCCTAGAAAGAGAACCATAAACTTTGGGAAGAAATCATATCAGTGGTGCGAAACTTTTTGGCGATTATAAATTAATTGCCATATGTGTAATTTTCATTCTAGCTCTCAGAGTATTATAATTTGGTATTAATTCAAAATCATCAACTTTATTTTAATTTTTTAAAAAGTTATTTTATTGTTTTATTTAGATCAGTAATAGTATAAGCTCTTTGTGGAATTTTAACTGGGACAAAAGGACTGGCAAGATTATCTTGATTTCTATATTCAAACTCATCATTTAC